GATTGAATGAGCAGTTAAATTTTGCACTGTGTAGATGGGAAAAAGCTTAAATCATGTTAATTTGTTGCAGATGAGCTGTAGTTTACCCATTTAAAAAAAATCTTTTTTTCTTTTGGGTGCTCGTCTGTCGATCAATAACCATTATTTTTCGAGATTGTCACCGAATTCCAGGTTTTTTCCTGCCGTATTATTAAATTTTTATTTCTTTTATTATAAACTTTGTAAAGTATTATTAAAACTGAAGCATCGCTGAGCTTTTTCTTCCTCTCTTTTTCCTTTTTTCATCTGGAATATTACTGCTGAACATTTGCTAGTTCCCTGTAATTTTGTTTTGTTTCTTTCTGCCTCATTTAAATTTTGTGGGGTATGGGATTGGTTGTTCATAAATCAAGATTATATCGATTAAGCGCATTGGTAACGAAGTCTGGGAATGGATGGGGTTTTTTTCCAACTTGCTTGTCTATATTTAACGTATTTTTAGCAAGCAACACTAGCACTTTTGTATATCCGTCTCATCATCAACATCCAAAGTTCACGTTATCTGGAAGTTCGCATAATTTAAGTAAGTTTGATTACTATTTGTTGTTTTGAATTCTTTTACTTAAAATTCGAATGAAATATCTTCAAGAAATGGCTTGCAAAACCGCCTACTGAAATATGTTATCAAACGAAACAATCAGTTGTGAAGAAAACTGTCTGGAAAGTTGGACAAAAAAATTACAGTCGCAATTTTTTGTTACAATTTATGCTAATTTCACACGTCAATTACCCAATGTTTACAATTAGAAATTCGTTGTGACGTTAAGTGCTTTGACTCAAGATAAGAGGAACATTCAACATTTTTCTCTGTCAATTTAGGCACAAGTATCTCGAATTTCGAACCAGTACAAGCGCCATCGCAGTATCTTACTCTCACTCCAATACTTCACTCATTGCAAGAACAGTAGGTTCTTTGATATTTGTTTCAAATAGTGATCAGTACCTCAGTTCAATCAGTTTTAGATATATTCATGGTCATTAAAGAACTATTATGTGTTTTGCTCCTTTTTTTGTATTTTATCGTTTAGAAGTTGTAACATTTTTGCTAGAAAAGAAGTTATGTTTTTTTTTAATATAAAGAAACCATTTCTAATTTTTAATGGGAGAAATTTTAAGGAATTTAGGGCGGCAGGACTTCAATTTCTCAGAGAATGATGTCGAAAATATTAATTTGACTTGGTCTTGAAATTATTTAATATTGGCATTATCTTACTGTACTGTCTTATTTTATAGAGATTCAATTTTCTGTGCCACTGGGCACTTTTATTCTATGCGCTCTGAAGTTTGATCATGAATAATGAAAAAAATTGTGAATATTGGCGTCTTGTGAATGTATCACATTACTTTTTTCTACATTGGTCATCCAACTAATGTTAAATAAGAATAACTGCGTATAATGCACTCCTTTCCCTGGTTTTCTCCAGAAATTTCAACGACTTTTCATATGGCTTCTGTATAATTCTTCTACTTCTTTTTCGTCTAAAAAAAACTCATCACTTTTTAAACAAGTTATCAGAACTTGGTATTAGGGTGTTCTGCTTCAGGTAGGGTTGTTTCTTATCTAGTCAAGTTCAGGATTGGAGAAATTGTTTTAGTGTTTTAATTATACGTGCCTTGTAACTTTTTTCGATGCTTAAGAGGTCTGGAATGTAATGGGTTCTCCAAAGGCCTCTATACGGTTTGGCGAGGTTGCTTTTACGCCTTCGTTTTCGACCCCAGGAGGACACATCAATGATTACTTTCCGGTTTCTTCTGATGAGAACCCAGCAATGGACAATACTGAAGCCAATCTTCTTCACAAAACTTCAAGGTTAGTTTACAAGCAGCGAAGGCTCTAAGTGTTTGCTTGCTTTCAGGCATCGTGGTGAATTAACCATTCTTGAGAAATATCGTTATGACCTCAGTCGTGCGCAGCTTAAAGCCAGTTCGAGGACTTCAGCTTTGTTGGCTGGGTTTGCTATGGTATCGGTCTTTGTGGTATTGGTTGTCTAAACTTTTCCAGAGTATATTTTATCTAAAATTTTTGCTCCTAATCTTCACTGGCACACAAGTTCATTATTTTAGAAACATTATTTCTTGATGCTTCTTACTCATTTGCCCTTTAATTTTCAAATTTTGCGTTTTTAGGTTGCCTTGGTGGAACTCCAGTACGAACAAGGAACATCTAAACCACTGTTAATAGTTCTCGGTGTTATCACTACTCTACTGGTTTCAGTACATCTTTTGGCCTTAATGATGTCAACTTGCATTTTGCCATATATTGAAGCTAATGGCTGTACTCAGGACTCTCCGCATATTAGACTTAAGTAATTATTGAAATCTTGTCGTTTTTTTACTTCTTTTTCTACCTTATTTGGAGATTTCAGTTTTAGAATGCGATTTGGCGTAAGTTGCATTTCCAAAGATCTATGTCTTCTTTTTCTGGTGCATTTTCTTTCTGACAAAGGTTCTTAAACCTTAATTGTCTTGGCAAGGCCGACATTTTCTAAAAGCTTTTTATTTTTCTGTATATTTTAGCAGATATGCCTGCTTAATTTCGCCTTCTTCAAATATTGGTATTTTTTCAGTAATCCTCTGCCAATTTTTTAGATTTTACATAGACTTGTCATGGCTGTTTAGCACTTGCATAGGGCTGGTCTTATTTTTGATTGAAATTGGAGTTATATTCTTTGTAAAGTTCGACGCAGTCAACTATATAACTGCGGCTTACGTTACTACTGCCCTTCTCGGTAAGTTTTATGGTACAACTTGGCACTTTTTATCCAAATTGTTGAGACGCTTTATAAATAACAAAGTTTTTGCAGTCCCAGTCGTGATTGTCTTCACAGTATTTTCGTGCCTGATTCATAAGAGTCGGTTCATTCATTCGATGAACAGAGTAGATTCAAAAGTAAATGATCTTCAGAAATTTCTTAACGATAATGAAGCAGCGTCGTCACAGCTAGCGAAAGCAAGCCAGTTCCAAACCCGCTTAGTTAATGCTGGTTTGCAAGGGGTTACAGTAATAGACGCTAGTAAGTAGCCTCTTTGGACTTTTAAGTTTTTTAAAATTTTGGCTTTTTGGTTTACTGAAATTTATAAAACTGAAATATCGTCTAATTAAGTGGAACTCAGTGGTTAATGGAATCAGATGTAGAGAGAAATTTATCAGTAAGGATTGAATGTAGGTTGATCAAATCCTTATATTTTTTTTTTGCAGTAGAAGTCTTTTACCTGAATATGCTCACCTGTGGTTCTTTACTTCATTATTTAAATATTCTTTAATTTTGCTGCGGGAAGAAATATTTTTCATATTTTTATATCATAACTTTCACACTGGCAGACGTTTAACAAAAACTAACACGGGTTTTATAAATATCCAACTTTCTGATGCTTGACGTTGTTCGTTTATTTTTTTCATTCATCACTGCATATTTTTTTAGTTTGTGGTACAATATTTTATGGTCTTACTCAAACCACAGAGGTTATTGGGACCGCAAAATGCAATTTTCTACGATAATTTTGTTGTTAAAGTGCATTTTGCGGTGTTCTTTGAAAATGTATCATCGCCGTGGCAAATTTTTGCAGTTGTCGTTTTCATAATAATATTTTTTGGTTGAATTTTGTCATTACTTTGTCCTATAGTTTTAGGGACGATATAACGAACAATATTGTTGTTGATGCATGTTTGTACATTTGTATGATAAAAACCTATATATGTCATTGTGAATCTGGGAAAAGCGTTTATATTATGATAATCATTTTATTTCATAAGCAAAACAGTGGAGCATTACGCAATCATGTAGCAAGCGCTGAGGAAATTACAATTTAAAGTTTTCTCTAAGCTTCACAGGATTCCTCAGTGGTTGTGGTTTTTGGTTTTTAATGTGTTTTTGCTAGTAGATAGGATAGCGAAGGAAGAATTTACTGGAGTATTCAAAGAATGAATGCTGTGCAAGATTGTTCTGTAACTGAACAGGCGTTTAATATGCTAGCAGACTTTTAGACATCAGATGAAACCCTTTGGACTGTTCAGTGTGGTTTTGCAAGCAGTTACTGATTGTCATAGATGATGTAGTTCAGTATAGTTTTTGTATCAACGTTTTGTCCGTCTGGATGATTTTACAACACGTTTTTCTTCACCAGATAGGCTTTATTTATTTATTTTTGGCAAGTTAGGTTATCGGTTTTGTAACAGACTGCAAACTACTTTTAGTTAGTTTACAGACAAAAAACTTTTCAGGCATTGATAAACACATTTGTATAACTAACTGTATAGTGTTTTTTCCCTCTCCTGATCGGAACTAAAAGTAATAAAGTTGAAGCCCATCCGTCCCTCACTTTTTTTTCCAAGACATTTCTAGACTGCTTTTATTTATCAGTCAATTAATTTTTGATGCTAAATTTTACGCTGTTGTTTGGATATTTTGAAATGACAGAGATGAATTGAAAATAGCTAAAAGTTTGTTTGTTGAGGAAGGGAAAAACTTCGTTTATTTGAATCTGTAAAGGTGAGTTTTTTAGTTTAGAACAGCCATCATTTGGTTTCTCCTTCAAAGTTTGCATACAGCATTAGTCTCTCCAGAACACTCTGTTTATTTTTGGACAAATCAAAAAAAGTTTAAAATTTAAGCAAAAAATTTGGAGATTTTTTATATCAATTTTTCGCTCGTTGTTGTCATTGGTTTACCTGCGCAACGACGAGACACAGTTATTAGTAGGTTTTATGAAGAAAACAAACAGCATTTAGTGCAAATGTTGGTCACGTTGTCGACTGATCGACGGAGATTTTTTGGCTGGTAAAATTGGACTCTTTCATTTGTTTTATGCTGAATGTTAAATTTTGGAATTTAAATTGAAGCAATCAAGTGGATTCGGAAATGACCCAACGTCGTCAAAGAGTTCAACATCTAACGTACGTATACTGGCAATCATTCAGCAACTGCTGCTATCAATTCAAAGGATAATTTGATAGAAAGAACATTCTGGTTGATTGTACCTATAACTTATTTTCCCATAAATTATTCGTTTTCAATCGGATACAAATGCAACAATTCTACAGGTTGCTGTTGTGTGACAAGGCAGAAAAAACATTTTTTTTTTTTGATATTTATTTATTATTTTAATACAGACAAATAAAAAAAAAAAAGTTAACTGATTTTTCTTTTGTTGGTCATATTTTATTTTGTTTCCCACTTACATCAGTAAGCATAACTACAGGTTTTTTTTTTTTTTCGAGACAATCCTTATCCTTTCTTTACTTTGCCCATTACTTTTTTCTGTTCTTCGTTCAAAATGAGGAATCGGAGGAAGAAGAAGAAGAAGAAAAAAAAGATAAAGAAAAAGACAGGCTTTAATTTTGAAAAAAATTAAAAAATAAACAAAATAAAACAAAAAATAGTTAAATTGTCAAAATAAAATATTAAAACGCTTATTCTATTCACATATATGACAAATGAAAACGAAAAAAAGATTTTAAAAAATGTTAAATTTAAAAAGACACTTTTGAGCGTTTCTGGTCATTAAATACATAGCAATAAAAAAGAAAAAATAAAAATATATTACTATATATATATGAAAAATAAAGTTATTTATATAAACATATATATATATCTATATACAAATACATATACTGTGAACAAACAACACAAATTTTCAGACAGCTTTAAAGTTGTGCCTTTATATAAAGGCTGAAATATTTGCTGCAGCGAAACACAATCAACGAAGCTTAGTCTGTGTGCGCAAACAACAAATTAGACTAATCTTCTTAGGCAAAACAAAAAGAGGGAAAAAAAATACAGAAAGAAAGCAGAAACGGTACAAAAAAAAAAAAAAAAAAAAAAGTTCAAAAAAAAAAAAAA